GTCCCGGGTTTGATTCCGGTCAAGGGCATGTACCCTGGTTGCAGGCACATCCCCAGTAGGGGGTGTGCAAGAGGCAGCTGGTCGATGTTACTCTCTCATGGACATTTCTAGTTCTCTATCCCTCTCTCTTCCTCTCTGTAAAAAATCAATAAAATCTATTTTTTAAAAAAATTTTAAAAATAATAATAAAATAACTTTTGTCAAGTTAAGGAAGTCCCCTTTTATTCCTAATCTGTTAAGAGTTTTGTCATGTCTGTATGTTGAACTAAATGCTCTGTAAAGCCCACTTTTATTGTTAAGTATAGCACATAAAGATAACTGCAGAAAGACATAAATATAAAATATAGAATATGTATAGAGGGAATACTTGTGTAACCACCATCCAGGCTAACTAAAAGAATCTGGCCAGTATTCACAAAGGATTTGTATGTTTCTTCTCTGTCATACACCATTTCCTTCTCGAAGAGATAAGCAGTATTCTGACTTTCATAGAAATCACTTCCTTGCTTCTCTAAACAGTTTACCCATGTTTGTATACATTATTTAACAATGTAGTTTATTTTGTCTGCTTTTGAAGATATATATGTATGTATATGTAATAAAACTACTATATATATTTATTATATACATAGGAGTGGAATTGCTGTATTATAGTGTGTATTCCTTTTTATTAGGTAATGCTAAACTCTTTTCCAAAGTGATTTAACCACTTATACTCCCATTAATTGTATACCAGGGTTTCTCTTGTTCTATATTTTCATAAACACTTAATATTTTGAGACATTAGACTATTCTGGGGCATCCAGTGGTATTTTATTATGGATTTAATTTGCAATTCTTTGATCACTAATGAAGCTGAGCACCTTTTCATATTTTGTTGACCTTGTGGATTTCCTCTTGTGAAGTGCTATTTCAGATCTTTAGTTCACGTTTATAATTTTTATTGTTAGGATATTTTTTTTTCATATTCACTTGAAAAAGTCTTTTATACATCCTGAACACATCCTTTGTCAGTTATATATGTTATAAGTGCTTCCTTCTATTCTGTGGCTTGTTTTTTGATGAACATATGTTCTTGATTTTAATGTAGTCAAATGTATCAATCTTTTCTTTTATGGTTAGTGGACTTGAATATTTCTTATGAAATATTTCCTTATCCTGAATTCATGTATATATTTTTCTATATTGTCTTCTAAAAGGCTTTCACTATGCCTTTTATGTTTGTTTATTTCTTTTGTTTTTATTTATGTTTGTTTTGTTTTTATTTATTTGTTTGTTTTGTTTTTATTTCAGAGAGGAAGGGAGAAAGAGAGAAACATCAATGATAAGAGAGAATTATTGACTGGCTGCCCTTCTGAACACCCCCCACCCCCCAGGGATGGAGCCCAAAACCTAGGCATATGCCCTGACTAGGAATTGAACTGTGGCCTCCTGGTTCTTAGGTTGATGATCAACCACTGGCTGGCTGGGCTGCCTTTTACATTTAATATATCATATAGTGGGGGATGATTTTTTTATATGGTTTAAGGCAGGGGTTTGTTTTATTTTTTCATATAGATAATTGTCACAGCACATTGAAATCTGCTTCCTTTCTCTCCTGCTCATAAGTGCAAATTCTCATAAATCAATTGTCTATGTATTGGTAAATTTGTTTATGCCTATGTATTTTGTCGTCAATTTATCTATCTATCTTGTGCCAATACTATAATACGTATCTTAATTATTAGGCTTTGCAATTATGTCCTGGTGTCTGGTAAAGCAAGTCTTTTCACCTTATTCATCTTCAAGAGGCTATTATTGGCTTTTTACATTTCCATGTAAATTTTAGAATCAGTTTGTCAGTTCCACACATTCACAAAAAATCCTGATGGTATTTTGATTAGGATTGTACTGAATCTATAATCACTTTAGAGAATTGACATCCTCATGATATTGAGACTTTTACTCTATGAACATGATAATATCCCTCCATTTATGTTAGGTATGCAGTGTCTCATCCTAAATTATAAATTGCTGCATACAGGTCTTACACCTATTTTGTTACATTTATAGTTTTGTATTTGGTATTTTTCATATTAGTGAAAGTAGTAACTTTAAAAATTACTCATCATCTAATTGTTTATTGTTCATATATAGATACGTAAATTATTTTGGGATATTTTTTCCATTGATTTTCAGAGAGAGGAAGGTGGGGACAGAGAGAGAGGGAGAGAGAGAGAAATATAGATGTGAGAGAAACCTGTAACCCAGGTACATGCCCTTGACTGGGAATTGAACCTGTGACCTTCCAATCCTAGGGTGGATGATTTAACCACTGAGAAACACACTGACCAGGGTAATTTTGTATATATATGTACCGGTATTTTCCGGCGTATAAGACGACTTTTGAAACAAAAAAAAAGTCAACCGAAAATCGGGGGCAAAAGATCAAAATTGCACAAAAATTACCTGCAGATCTTGACGGCAAAGTAAGTCTTTTCTTTGAAGTGGGGGGTAGTCTTATACAGCAAATATAGGCCTAAACCTATGTTTTAACTGTAAAATTAGGGGGTCGTCTTATATGCCGGAAAATACTGTATATACTATCAAGTAGCCTTGTTAAACTTATTCTAATTATTTGTAGATTTTTTTGAATTTTTTACATTTGCTATCACATTTTCATAAATTTTGTAAATGGTAACAGCTTTGTTTATCTTTTTATATAATTCTTTAACTTTTTCCCTTTTTGTCTGACTCACTGCTCTGGCTAAAACCCCCATTACAAGAATAAATAGAATTGGTGATACCAGGCACTCAATTACCAGATTAACAAGTTCCCTAAACTAGTATTCTAAAAGATTTTTCTTTTATCACAAATGGATGTTTATTTTGTCATGAGCTTTCCCTGTATTTATTGAAATGAGTGATATATCAAGCTCCCTTTAAATTCCTGACATAAATTCAAGTTTAATCTTGGATTTTTAATTTTTTTTGCATTGATTCAGTTTGCGAGTGTTTTATTGAAGATTTTTGTATCTTTGTTAAGTGAGATTGACCAGTAATTTTTTTAATCTAGTATTGCCCTTTTCTTGTTGAGTTATCAAAGTAATTCTGGCCCCACAGAATAGTTGAGGGGTGTCCTTTCTTTTCCCATTTTCTGGAAAAGTTCATACAGGATTAAAATAATGTGCACTTTGAAAATTTGGTGCAACTTGCCTGTATGATGCCATTCTTAATGTTTTCTCTTCATCTCACACCTCACATCTAAACTATTTGCAAATTCTGTTCACTCTAGCTTTAAATTAAATTCAGAACCCAAAACTATTTCTTACCTCCACAGCCATTATGCACCACCATCTTTCGCCTGGAAAATTGTGGTAGCCTCTTTCTCTTTCTTTTCCTCTCTCTCTCTCTCTCTCTCTCTCTCTCTCTCTCTCTATATATATATATATATATATATATATATATATATATATATATATATGTGTGTGTGTGTGTGTGTGTGTGTGTGTGTGTGTGTGTGTGTGTATTTTTTTAAAAATTGATTTCAGAAAGAAAGGGAGAGGGAGAGAGAGAGAAACATCAATGATGAGAGAGAGAGTCACCAATTGGCTGCCTTACACTGGGGGATCAATCCTGCAACCAAGGCATGTGCCCTGACAAGGAATCCAGCCATGACCTCCCAGTTCATAGGTTAAAGCTCAACCACTGAGCCATGCTGGCCAGACTGCAGTAGCCTCTTCATTGAACTTGTTGCTTCTGTTCATGCATCCATCATGACATTTAAACATTTTTAAAAATTGATTTAAGAGAGAGAGGAAGAGAAACATATCAATTTGTTCCTTTTTTTTTTTTTTTTAATCCTTACCGGAGGTATACTTTTTCTATTTTTTAATATATATTTTTATTGATTTCAGAGAGGAAGGAAGAGGGAGAGGTATGAGAGAGAATCACTGATTGGCTGCCTCCTGAATTCCTGGCCACCCCCACCGGGGACTGTGCCCAAAACCCAGGGATGTGCCTCTGGCTGGGATCGAACCCAGGACCCCTCAGTCCGCAAGCCGATGCTCTATCCACTGAGCCAAACCAGCTAGGGATTTCCGTTGGTTTTTAAACAGAATGTAAGAGAGGAAGTGGATTGGGGGAGAGGGGGAGCCGGGAACAACCATCTGATGTGAGAGAGACACAGGATTGGTTGCCGCCTGCACAGAGGGGGAGGGGATCCAACCTGTAACCCAGGTTACTTGTCCTTGAACCAGGGAATCAAACCTGCGACTTTTTGGTTTACAGGCCTATTTCTAACCACTGAGCACCGCCGGCTGGGGAATCGTCAAATCCGACACACCTTGAAGGATGTCTGTCTGAGACATTTGGTTTGCAGGCCTATTTCTAACCACTGAGCACCTATTTGTGCATTTGTTGGTTGCCTCCCGTAGGTGCCCCTACCAGTTCTCAAACCCAAAAGCTTCTGGTGTATGAGAGGACACTGAATCGCCGCACCAGGTCTGATGAAGACTGGCTAAACACAATCCCTCCATACCTGCCTGAGACCACAAGCTCCCTCTGCATTTAGCGTCTAGCCAAGTACCACAATAAAGTTTTATTGAAACAAAGCAGGGGGGGAGGGGGGGAAAGGTGCCCGTCAATCTTTCCTCACCAACCAATCAGAGAGGAGAGTGCTTCTGTCGCTCCCAGGCGCCTCAGCAGTCGGAAGACGGGAAAGGAACACGTCCCGCCCCTAGCCCGCCCGGTAAGAGCGGAAGTGCGGCCGGAAGTCAGCCATAGAGTGTAGCCGCCAGAGCGACCCCGAAGGGAGGTGGCAGGAAAGGCTCGGAACAGCTGCCGGAGGTGACGGAGCGGCGGCCCCGCCCGGAGATCTGGAAGGCGAAGCTCCAGGTAGCGGCCCGCAGAATCTCACCGAGGGTACGACGCGGCGATCCGCGGGAGCCCACGGGCTCGGCGCGGCCTCTTTAAGGGAGGGGGCGGAGCCACGTGGAAGGATCCTGAGGGTGAGGTCACGTGGCGGGGGGCACTGGCGGGGCACCTGTGGAGATTAGAAGGCGCGTTGTCGTTGGGGTAGACACCATGTGACACCTCTTCCCCCACTGCATCCTGTGCCTTAGGGTTCAATGGGGTGTTCGTGGTAGGGCTTAGGGATGAGGCCAAGGGTTTGTGGGGTGGGCAGACTGGCGTGGCAACCCTGTCTCAGACAGACATCCTTCAAGGTGTGTCGGATTTGACGATTCCTAGATCCAAGTGTTAGACGGCTCCACCTATGATTCCTCATGGCAGAAAGGATTCGGTGCCTCCGCAGTCAGCCCTGGCCCTTGTGCTGCTTATCCTTCTCCCAATGTTCAGGGACCTACAGCTTCACATCCTCTTTCCTTGCAGCTCCGGACATCCTGAGCCCACGTCCCCCCAGCTCAGTGCAGCCATGAGTGCCGAGGTGAAGGTGACAGGGCAGAACCAGGAGCAGTTTCTGCTCCTGGCCAAGTCTGCCAAGGGGGCGGCGCTGGCCACACTCATCCACCAGGTGCTGGAGGCCCCTGGTGTCTACGTGTTTGGGGAACTGCTGGATATGCCTAATGTTAGAGAGGTGGGTTCCTGGCCTGGATAGCCCACAGGGAAGCGTGGGGCTAACGTTTGAATTAGATGGGTGGGCAGACAGGGCTCACTTTGCAACCCCATAACCATTCAGTTGAACAATAGTAGGATGATGATTAACTGGCATCTTGCAGGAGTATGTGCACAAGTAAACTCATATATATATCGGGTCTAGTAATAATTAATGTCGTTTTTAAACTTGTTTAAAATCTTGCTTGGCATTGACTTGTATTGACATAACCTTCAAACACGTGGTATCTACAGAACGTGTGAAGTGCAATTAACAAGTTTTGCTTGAAAAAGTTTGTGTTTGGTTTGGTTTTTGTTGCAAAACTAGGGCTAAGAAGATGGAGGATGAAGAGCATATTCGGCACTGCATGCTTTACGAGTTCCAATTAGGAAGAAAAGCAGTGAGGCTGCAAAAAACATCTGTAGTGCTCTTGGTCAAGATGCAGTTAGCGCCAGAAAATGCCAGCGTTGGTTTGAGAAATTTCGCGAGGGAAATTTTTCCTTAGATGACAAGAGTGGTCGAGGCCGTGTGTCCAATTTTGATCAAGAAGCTCTTCAAGCTCTTTTGGTGCAAAATCCTCAAATTACCCAACAAGAGCTTGCAACAACTTTAAATTGTTCACAAAAAACAATTTCCAATCAATTGTGTGCACTTGGCAAAGTCCAAAAGTTTGGAAAATGGGTTCCTCATGAGTTGGCCGACAACAACCGTAATCAAAGAGTCACAATTTGCAGTTCACTCCTCTCTCGTCAAAACCGGTTGCAGTTTTTAGAGCAAATTGTTACCGGAGATGAAGAATGGGTGCTGTATGTTAATTTGAAAAGGCAGCCTCAATGGTTGGACAAAAATGAGGCTCCACAGCCCACGTCAAAACCTGACTTGCATGTGAAAAAAGTGATGTTGTGTGTTTGGTGGAATTTTAAAGGAATTCTTCATTATGAACTTTTACCATCTAACCAAACCATTACAAGTGCAGTGTATAGTGCCCAATTGGAAAGGTTAGCCCAAGCTTTAAGAGAAGAAGAACCCGCGCTGATTAATCGGAAGGGCGTAATTCTTCACCACGATAACGCACGACCGCATACTGCAAGAATCACTGCTGAAAAACTGCGCCAGTTGGAATGGGAAGTTCTCCCTCAACCTGCATATTCTCCTGATATTGCCCCTTCCGATTACCATTTGTTTCGTTCTTTGCAAAACTTTCTTCTTGGAAAAAAATTTAATAATGAAGAATGCCTCAAAAATGCATTGACCGAATTTTTTGCATCAAAATCACAAGAATTTTACAACAGAGGGATTAAAATGCTTCCTGAGCGTTGGGCACAAGTAGTAGAAAACAATGGCAACTATATTGTTGATTAAATTTTGTTGTATTGTTTAAATAAATTCGATTTAAAAAGTATTAGAAAACGACATTAATTATTACCAGACCTAATATATATATATATATATATATATATATATATATATATATATATATACACACACACACACATAGATAGATAGATAGATAGATTTTAGAGAGGAAGGGAGATAGAAACGTCAATGATGAGTGAGAGTTATTGATGGGCTGCCTCCTGCATGCCGCCAGCAACCTGGGCATGTGCACTTGACTAGAATTGAACCTGGGACCCCTCAGTCCACAGACCAACGCTGTATCCACTGAATCAAACTGACAAGGGCATTTTTTTCTTCTTAATTTTAAATATATATATTTTTTATTTATTTTTACAGAGGAAGAGAGAGAGAGAGAGAGTTAGAAACATCAATGAGAGAGAGATATCGATCAGCTGCCTCTTGCACTCCCCCTACTGGGGATGTGCCCGAAACCAAGGTATATGCCCTTGACGAATCGAATCGGGGACCTTTCAGTCCACAGGCCAACACTCTATCCACTGAGCTAAGCCGGTTTCGGCTCTAAGGCAAATTTTTTATTTTTAAGCAAAAGAACATGTGCTTCAGAATAAGAGACCAGACTCCAGCTTGTCTCCACCAGTGTAATAGCTCTTAATAATCATGTCACCTTGATGAGGTCACCTTTATTTTAGGGTCTCTGTGTTCTCTTTTAAAAATGGAGCTGTGCCCTGGCCGGGTAGCTTAGTTGGTTAGAACTTGTCCCGCTATGCCATGGTTGTGGGTTTGATTCCTGGTCATGGCAAATACAAGACTCAACCAATGAATGCATAAATAAATGGAACAAGTAGAAAAAAGAAATAAATAAAAAAATGGAGCTGATACTGCTCTTCACCATTGCTGTAGAAATCAGGTGAGATTATTGGAAAGTGTGAAGTCATTCCAAATGGAAGGAATGAATGTGAAATTGGCACACCCTGTTCTCCCCCCTCTTTGCACCATATGCAAATTCACTTACGTTAGATCATATAGAAAGTATCTTTTCTCCAGAGACATGTGGCAAGGTGCTAGAAATACAGTAGAGAGAACTGTTCACACAGAAGTGGTAGAGTTAAGAGTTTACAATCCACAGTGTGTAGATTGCCAAGATGTATGAAAACAGCCCGAGTCCTGAGCTGCTATGACAGTGGTAGGTGGGCAAACAGTGAATTAAGTTGTCAATGGCCAGTGATTGAGACAGTGGATTCAGCCTTTTGGGATTACTCTGTGGTACAGAGAAAACCGGTGGCCTTCTTTCCCGGCTTTCCTCTGCAAAGGAACTAAGCAGAGTCAATCAAGGCGAAGAAAAGTACTTTGGATGCCTGTTTAGCACTCTGCTGGTGGTCTGGGAATGCCAAGAAAGTAAAAGATAACAGTACTTCATATATATATATATATATATATATATATATATATATATATATATATATATATATATATATATATATATATTTGTGACAACAGTACTTCTGAAGCTTACATTTCAGTTAAGAGATCAGATGAATGGATATACATATACAGATCATTTATTTAGCAAGTTATTTATTGAGAGAGACAACTACTGATGCTTAACTCTGCTTGACCTAAGAGGGATACCAAAGACTGGGCCTGTCATCTTGTTGAAGAGAAAGATATTCTTAGGCAGCACCCTTAGGCAGGTTTTGATTAAGTGTCAGATGGAGTGACCAGTGATAGGAAGAGAGGAGATCTGGGTGGGCTGGCCTGGGTGATGAAAGCCTGGTGAAGCAGGTCTGTAGCAGAGGCCACAGATTCCAATGGCTGCCTCGGCCATGAGCTGTCAGAGATGAGCGAGGCTGAGGCTGGAGTCTGGTGAATTGGAGAGTATAGCAGACTGCCTAAAGAGAATCAGATTTACAAACATCCACACTAAGTTTACAAATAAAACACCATTTGCAATGTCTGGTGTGTGTGTGTGAAATACTGAATACTGAATGTTCTCAACTGAATTTAGGGTAGGAATTGGAGACTATAAAGGCAGAGGGCATTGTGATGGGGGCGGGGGAGGGGGAGTAGTATAAACAAAGGCAGTGGAAATGAGGTGGAAATGACGCCTTTCTATGGGAAGAGTCATCAGAGAGGCAGATTCCTTTCAGTGAGCAGTGAGAGCTAATGGAAGGGAATGATGGGACCAGAATGTGGGATTCAAAGCAGGGTGGGGCTGGGAGAAGGGTGAATAGAGGCCCTTCCTGTCATCTCTTCCCTCCTATTGCAGCTGGCTGAGAGTGACTTCGCTTCCACATTCCGCCTGCTCACAGTGTTTGCTTATGGGACGTATGCTGACTATTTAGGTAACCAGAGGGGCTGGAGCTCGGGAGTAGAGGGGGTGGGAGAAGGGCAATTTCTGGAGGGACTTAAGAGACATTTCTGAGATATCCTACTTAGATCCCTTAGGTACACAGGGTCAGGGTCAAGACCTGAATCGGCATGGAAAATTTGGGGGGGGGGGGGGGGGAGGAATGCAAGGGACAGAGGCTAGGCCTTCCCACAGAAAGGAAATCAGGATTTCCTACTTTGTCCTTTTTTCCCAGCTGAAGCCCGGAATCTCCCCCCACTCACAGAGGCTCAGAAGAATAAGCTTCGACACCTGTCGGTCGTCACCCTAGCTGCCAAAGTCAAGGTGAGCCACAGAGCATCCTTTTGTATGTCCCTTCGCAAGGGCCATCTGGAGGGACTTTGTTCTGGGACAGCCTTTGATACACTGTTGTTTCTTCCTGCCTTCCCCTCCGCATTCTTCCCAGATCTGTATCTAGACTCCGTCATCTGTACCCTTGTTAGGCTATTTTTCTCTTAGTTATCTGTTTTGTTTCTATTTTTCTATCAACTTAAGTTCCAACTAACACATCTTTTGTGTGTGGGGTCAAAATAGCAACTGGCATGTCACTCACTATTTTACAAGGGTCACCCTCCTTCCCTCTATGGAACGGCCCATGCAGACCGCCTGCACGCTCAGAGCTGGGAACAAGGCTCTCTCTCCTGGTGAAGCACTAGGCTTCTATTGCTAAAATAAGTAAGATATAGCAAGAAGTGTTTCTGTATTTCCTGTTGGCTTGTTTTTGTTTTTGTTGTTGTTAACTATCCCCCTCCTGTCCATTTGCACTCTCCCAATCATTACTAGACTCTCCCATCATTCTAGTGAGTTTACTTAAATCAGGCTGTCTTTTGTGAGAAGCCTGTTTGGAAGTATGCCCTGTATAAATGGTAACAGTAACTCTAGACCTCTCCCATACACACGCTTCCATTAAGTCAAGCTTCAAGCTGATCTTGAGCAGGTCTGTATGCTACCCTGAGCGTGGCCAGAGGATTAACACCCAGGCAGATCATCACTTCTTCCTCTGGTGTGAGGTAAAGGTAAGGGTGGTAAGAGAGCACAAGTCGTATATTTTATTTAAGACAGCCCTTGTGCTGCCGAAACCGGTTTGGCTCAGTGGATAGAGCGTTGGCCTGCGGACTGAAGGGTCCCGGGTTTAATTCTAGTCTAGGGCATGTGCCTTGGTTGCGGGCACATCCCCAGTGGGGGGTGTACAAGAGGCAGCTGATCGATGATTCTCTCTCATCGATGTTCCTAACTCTCTATCCCTCTCCTTTCCTCTCTGTAAAAAAAAAAAATATATATATATATATATATATATACAATATATATATATATATATATATATATATATATATATATATTTTATATAGCCCTTGTGCTGTTATTTTTCAGGCAGTAATATTTATTTTGTGTTAGAACCAACCTTTTGTTTATTTTTTTATTTTTTTATTTTTTTTTTTTTAATATATTTTATTGATTTTGTACAGAGAGGAAGGGAGAGAGATAGAGAGTTAGAAACATCGATGAGAGAGAGTCATCGATCAGCTGCCTCTTGCACACACCCTACTGGGGATATGCCCGCAACCAAGGTACATGCCCTTGACCGGAATCGAACCCGGGACCCTTCAGTCCCCAAGCCGACGCTCTATCCATTGAGCCAAACCGGTCTTGGCTAGAACCAACCTTTTGTTTAAAAAAATAAAAATATATTATTGATTTTTTTACAGGGAGGAAGGGAGAGGGATAGAGAGTTAGAAACATTGATGAGAGAGACACCGATTCAGCTGCCTCCTGCACACCTCCTACTGTGGATGTGCCCACAACCAAGTTATATGCCCTTGACCGGAATCGAACCTGGGACCTTTCAGTCCTCAGGCCCACGCTCTATCCACTGAGCCAAACCAGTTAGGGCTAGAACCAGCCTTTTAGAAGAAATGATTTGGGAATAGGAGTGGAGGGTAGGCAGTGAGCCTAGGTGGGGGAAAGGAGGGAAGAATCTTGGAAGTCCTTCTCTATGGCAGAACCTCACAAACCCCAGCCCGACCTCCCCGGCTCCAGTGTATCCCATATGCAGTGCTGCTGGAGGCCCTGGCCCTGCGCAACGTGCGGCAGCTGGAAGACCTGGTCATAGAGGCCGTGTACGCCGACGTGCTCCGTGGCTCCCTGGACCAGCGCAATCAGCGGCTGGAGGTTGACTACAGCATTGGGCGGGACATCCAGCGCCAGGACCTGAGTGCCATTGCCCGAACCCTACAGGAGTGGTGAGACCTGTGTCCTGGCAAGGGAGAGGTGCTTCGGAGGGTGAGGGCTGGGCTGCAGAGGTGGAATTCAAGAGGATGAAGGGAAATGAGCTCGTTCCTCTGAGGCAAGAGAGGAGCTTGTGTCCTTAGTGTCATAATTGGGGGAGGGAAAGATGAGTTGTACTCGAGGGGATCCTCACTGGGAGGTTGGTTGCCTTAGGCTGGGTTCAGCTCATTAATCTGTAAACAGCACTGTCCACAGGCCCTGGGCCTCTTCCACTTCCGCTTTCTCTTTGTGTCCTGGTCTAACTTTAGTTAATTATTAGTACACCTTTTTTTTCTCTTTAGCAGCTCCTATCCCATTTTGGTCTTGAGTTCCTACTCCCACTTGCACATCACTCCGTTCACTTCCCTGTACCTCTCTTATCCTCCCTGAGTGTCCTTCCAGCTCCTGGGAATATTGTTGCAGGTCGTTTCCAGAGGCCCTGGTGAGAGTTCCTGACTCAGGCAGGGGTTTGCATATCAGGACCTAGGGTTCTTTCTGCCTCTATTTTTAGTGAGTCTGTGATCACAGCTCTCTTCTGCTGACACTTCTGATTCCTGCAGGTGTGTGGGCTGCGAGGTAGTGCTGTCAGGCATTGAGGAGCAGGTGAGCCGTGCCAACCAGCACAAGGAGCAGCAGCTGGGCCTGAAGCAGCAGATTGAGAGTGAGGTGAGCCGGTAGGGGAGTGAGACAGACCCCAGCTCCTTCAGCCGGGGCCAGCTGTCAATGCAGAGGGGTATGGGCAGTGGCTGTAGCAGACAAACAAGGTGGGCAGGACTGTCAGGTTCTGGAACCTTCCTTGTTATCCCCCACTCCTTTCCTCCTGGTAGGTCGCCAACCTTAAGAAAACCATTAAAGTTACAACAGCAGCAGCCGCCGCAGCCACATCTCAGGACCCCGAGCAACACCTGACTGAACTGAGAGAACCAGCTGCTGGCACCAACCAGCGCCAGCCCAGCAAGAAAGCCTCAAAGGGCAAGGGGTGAGCCGGTGTGGCAGGAACTGCTCGCTTCTGGGGTGCCTCGCTTTTTCTTCAGAGACCTGGCCGCCATCACTGCCTTTAGTCGTTTGCAGGGGGTAGGGAATGGAGGGAACCTTCAGGGATTAGGGGATTCCTTGCAGCTTCTCTCTCTTTATTCTCTTTGCCAGGCTCCGAGGGAGCGCCAAGATTTGGTCCAAGTCGAACTGAAGGGATTGTCGCATTTTGCCCCTGGGGATACAGGGTCCCAGCTGCCTGCCTGCCTGCCCGCCCGCCCCTTAGGAGTCCTCAAAGAGCCTTCCTGTGCCCCTGGCCAGCTGATAATTCTAGGTTCATGACCTCTCATCTCTCTTCTTCTTTCCCTTATCCTAAGCATAGATCATACCTTCTCTAGGGAGGAGGCAAGTATGAGTCATGTTTTGTTGGTACTTTTTGTTTTATGTGACTTCCTTATGTGTCCCATTGTTCCCCCTCCCCTTCCCTACCATGCCCTCTCTCCTATGTTTTTAAGGGACAGCACTGCCCTTGTTTATTATATGTCGCTGAGTAGGTGGGGTTGCTGGTCTCCAATAAACCCACATGTGATCCTTGTCCTACCACCCCACCCCTGCATGACTAATCCCTGATCCCTACTCCCTACCCCGGCCTATTTGGGCAGCATCTGCAGAGCCATGGGGCTCCCATCTCTGTTCCCACCGAGAGAGATCGGGGAGCTAGTCTGCCATTCTAGGAGTCACTGGACACTTCCATCCTAGAATTTTGTGGTTTCTTTGCACCTCCTCTTGGGTCCTGGGAATGCTGCTGCTTCAATGACCCCAGAGCCTAAGAAGGGCAGCTGTTTCTCAAGACGTTGAGAGAGAGTTCTTTCTTGGCCCTGGCTATCTTAGAAAGCCTGATGGCAAACCTGGAAGAATTTATACTTCCTTTTTTGTGAGTTCTATGGAGAAGGAAAGGGGATATAGATTGTATTAAAAAAGAAAAGTGTATATATATCTATATCTATATATAGCATAACACAGAAATAAATCTATGAGAAGTCTATCTGTAAGCATGCCCTGGACTGGGTATCTTCTGTCTTTGTTATTTGTGGATGGGAAGAATGTTCGTTCCCAGTCCCCTCTACGCAATGGTGCTGGAAAATGAAGAGAACCAGATACTTTGTGCTGGGTCTTGGCCTACGCGACGTTGGACAGATTGCTCAGTATCTCAGCAGTCGTTCCAAAGCAGTGCATACTCCGTGAGCACCAACATGTCACGGGCACTGGAGATGCAAAGTGATGATCACTGTTCCAGTCCTCAAGGAGCTGGAGTTCAGCCTGTTGCCTTCCACCTTAAGTAATTATAAGGGGAAGATTGACAGTACGCTTGAGGTTTTTTGTTTTTTTTTAATATATTTTATTGATTTTGTACAGAGAGGAAGGGAGAGAGAAACATCGATGAGAGAGAGTCATCGATCAGCCACCTCTTGTACACCCCCTACTGGGGATATGCCCGCAACCAAGGTACATGCCCTTGACCGGAATCGAACCCGGGACCTTTCAGTCCCCAAGCCAACGCTCTATCCATTGAGCTAAACCAGTTTCGGCAGTACGCTTGAGTTTTTACATCAGAACCACAGAGCTCAGAGCTGCAATGAGAAGCAGCAGTCAGGCTCTTGTCCTCCCTCCAAGGCAGAGAGCTTCCCTAGCATTTATTGAGAGGACTGGTCTTGGCCTAGTGTACTGCTGTGTACCCCCTGGAATTGGGAAGCCCTAGTGTAATGGATGGTTCTCCCTCCCCCCTATACACTCCCCCCAAACCACTACACACACACACACACACACACACACACACACACCACATACCACACACATACTTGCATGTGAAGCAGTTGCCTCCTGGGCGTCCCAGATCGCATGCCATTCTCTGGATGGAGATTTAGGACAAACCACTCCATTGGTCCTAAAAGTATCAGTCACAAAACTAGAAAGTGGGGTGGAATTCTGAGGGTTTTTTTATTTTTATTTTTTATTAAAGTGGGCTGGGTAAGCTATGGAGACTTAATGGGATCTGTCTAAAGAGCCCTACTTCAGGAGTTGACTCTCCTGACTTCTCATTTTAGCTTTTCGCTAGGTAAGCATATTAAGTCTGTTGAGTCTTGATTCTCAGTCTCTACCTCTGAAATAAACCCTTTCTTCCTCCCACACCTTCTAATGTCTAGAAGTTGCTCATTCCTAGTGCTTTAAACCTGTCTCTCTTTGCCCATGCCCATTTTTCTCTTGAACTTAAACATTTTCCTGCAAGCTAGTTGCAGCTAATGGCTCTATAACTTCCTGACCTCTCTAGCTCCATCCTTTAGTGGATGGCTCTAGAAAGTAGTGTGTGCTTGGCTAGGACTGCCTGCCTAAATATCCAAAGAAGGGGGACCCTTCACAGCCCCAAGGACATGCAACTGCAATTTGTCTTTGACTTGCAAAGATGGGCTTTTGGCTACCAAGGAAAGCATGGAGAAGAGGGAGTAGAGTATTTATGGGTTCAGTTTTTGAGCATGAAATTTGGTTCAGGATTTAGGGATTCCATGTATAACTAAGCCCAGGACAGTAGGAAAATCTTTCCAACCAAGAATCTTATCACCATGTGCACACTCTCACGCTCATCCCTAACTATGGCAATCTTCAATGACCTTGAGGGTGGACCACTATGGTAAGAGGAGGAGGAAGATAACTTGCTTTCATGACAATTCAGAGTTCATGCACATGAAACAGATGACACTTAACAGGTTAAACCAAAGTCTCTGAAGCTAAAAATGGCGGTTGGACAGGTGCCTATCTTTATGCACAAGAAAAACAGAGACAATGTCTACAGTCAGTGTTTGGTGAAATCCTGTTAAAGAAGAAATTCTCCACTTAGGTGCATCTTCTAACATGAGTGGAAAGAAAGGAGTTTAGAGAGACAAATCTAGGTGGTGTATTAGTTATATATTACTGTGTATAAATTATTCCAAAACTTGGTGGCCTCAAACCACATATTTATTAACTCATTTCTATGTTTTGGTATTTGGCACAACTGAGCTGAATTTTCTGCTTTAGGGTCTCTCACGAGGCTACAAACAGTACTCAATAGGGCCATATTATTTCAAGGTTCCAATGGGAGGGACTTGGTTCCAAGCATGCTCAGAGATTGTCAGCAGGATTCACTGCTTCAGAGATGGACTGAGGACCTCATTTCCTGTCGACTTGGGGTCAGAGGCCATCCAGGTAGCCTCCATCAGAGCAGGAGACCACATCAGTAAGATGAAATAATTATCTTTCTATGATAATTGCTAATAATATAAGCTAGTATTTGTGTTTAATCAAGCAATATCCTAAGTGCTTTATGTATTTAAACACTTAATTTACACAAGGACCTTCTGAGATGGTATGATGACCCACTGCTCAAGATGACAAAAGAGGTATGAAGATGTTATGTAATTTGCCCAGGGTCACACAAATTACAAGTGGAAAAGGCACACAGCACCCTGTCTCCCATGCTCCTAAATGCATGGAGCAGCTGAGATCTCAGAGAAGTAAATAGCAGGAAGAAAAACCAAAGTTCCACTAAAAAATGGTGAGTTCACCATTTTTCCTCCTCCAGTTTCATCCAAAATGGACTCAAAAGCAGCCAGAAACTGAAATGGACATCAGATGTGAACTGATGTGAAAGAGCTCTGTGGAGCCCTCTATTGCAGGTCTGAGGAGCAGAAAGGGACTCCTAAGAGTTAGATTGGGGAAACCCCATTTTCTTTTTCCCTTCTACGTCCAGCCCCAAGCACACCATGGTGGTGATAGCTGCAACAATGACAGCGAGAGTGGCTCAGCAGGCACTTAAAATTCTGAGAGGAGAATCCATATCTGACCAGAAGAATTATGGTCCCACAAGTGTGAGTCAGATCCCCTCTGCTTTTTTCTTTCTCTCTTCTCTCGAGGCTTAGCCCAGACATAGTGGGAAATGCCTAGCAGACTGGAGAAAATAAAATCCCAACTTTTGGTCAGAGGATTGGGGCGGAAAGCCCCCAGAGAACCAGAAAGTGTCAGAAAAGTTATAAGAGGAAGATCAAGAGAACAGTCCCACAGAATTATGTGTTAACTCCTATGCTCACCTCTGAGTTGCACAAGCATGGATCTGACCCTAAATAGCTTGCCAAAGCTTTGTGAACTGAGCAACAGGATAGACCAATGTCCAAGTCAGTCTGGCCACTGGATGGAACACATGGAGGGCTGATCCAAATACCACCACAAAATAAACTGATATGGAACCACAATGCAAAGAAGAAAAGTTGCGCCTGAACCCAACCTAATCAAGTGCCTGTAAAAACAACTTTCTCCTTAGGATTTTAACAAGATCCAGAGTCAATATTCAAAATATCCAGGATACAATATAAAATTACTCGGCATACAAAGAAATCTCCAGGGAAAAGACAACCAACCCAAGATGGCAGAGGTGAAAGCAAAGACTTCACAGCAGTTAATATGACCACATTGGAAGAAGAAAGGGAGAATTTCTTAAAACAGATTGAAAGATAGGAAGTTTCAGCCAAGAAGTAGAAGATACAAAGAAGAATCGATTGACATTTTGAACTTAAAAATAGAAATAACCAAAATAGTCACTGGATGGGTTTATTAGCAAAAAAGAGTAGACAGAGGAACAAGTAAGTTAGAAGGTAGATCATTATAAATTATGTACTCTAAAACAATAGACAAAAAAAAAAAAAATGTGTTTAAACAAAACACCAGAGCCTCAGGAATCTGTGGAACAATACTAAAAAGTCTAACATTCATGTCAACAGTGTCCCAGAAGTTGAGGAGAAAATGTGAAATAGAAAAGTTATTAGAAGAAATAGTTTTTTTAAAAATCCCAAATTTGGCTCAGCCATTGAGGCTTAGTGGTTGAGCATTGATTTATGAACCGGGAGGTCACAATTTGTTCCTGCTCAGGACACATGCCCACGTTCCAGAATCCCCAGTCGGGGGTGTGCAGGAGGCAGCTGATCGATGATTCTCTCATCATTGATGGCTCTTTCTCCCCCCTCTCCCTTCTTCTCTGAAACAATCTAAAGGAAAGTTGTGTTTTTTTTAAGTAGAGATAGTGGAGTTATGAGCAATGTACCAACCAGAAACAAATAATAAAATTATAGAAATAAATGCAAACATTAATAATGATATTAGATGTAAATAGCCTAAATGCAACACTTAAAAGATAAATTATCAAAATGAATTTTAAAAATCAACTTTGCTGCCCTTGAAAATCCATTTTTAAGTATGACACAGGTGGGTTAAAAAAGGATTGGTGGCTGTGTTTTAGAGTACATAATTTATAGTGTAGGGCAGTTGGTTAGAGTGTTGTCCTGACACCAACATTGCAGGTGTGATCTCCAGTCAGGGCACATACAAGAAGCAACCAATAAATGCATAAATAAGTGGAACAGCAGATCAATGTTTCGCTCTCCCTCTCAATTCAATAAAAAAAAAAAAGTTCAGCCTAGCTTGTGTGGCTCAGTAGTTGAGCTTCGACCCATGCACCAAGAGGTCTCAGGTTTGACCTCTGCACATGCCTGGGTTGCAGGCTCAATCCTCAGTAGGGCTCCTGCAGGAGGCAGCCAATCAATGATTCTCTTTCATTATTAATGTTTCTTTTCTCTCCTTCCTTCCTCTCTGAAATCAATAAAAAAAATTTTTAAATAAATAGTGCAAAAACTGATAGATGTCAAAGGAAAAATGGGCAAATTACAATTGTAATTAAAAAGTTCAAAATTCTTTTCCTAGTAATCAAAAGAACAAGTAAACAGAAAATGACCAAATATACAGAAGTATATAGAACCAAATTATACCATTAGCCAACAGGATCTAATTAAAATTTATAGAACACTCTCCCAACACAGAAGAATACACTTTTTACTTTCAAGTGTGCACTGAACATTTACTGAGATATACTGTCCTGTGTCATAAAACTCAACAAATTTAAAGAATCAAAGTCATATAAAGGATGTTTTCTGACCATAATGGAATCATAAGTAGAAATCAATAACAGAAAGCTTGCAGGGAACTCTGGTCCAAACATTTGGAAACTAAACACATTTCTAAATAATCTATGGGTCAAAGAGAAATTAGAAAATATTGTGAACTTAATAAGAAATATATAAAACTAGAGGCCTAGTGCATGAAGTTTGGGTAGGGTACAGTCCCTAGGCCTAGCCTGATATCAGGGCCGATCAGGTTCCCTACCTTCCCACCTCATACCCTCAGCGCCCCACCAACACTGCAGCTGGTCACCCAACCATGTTCTTCACTCCCCCCTGGTGGTCACTGCACATTATAGCGAATGATCAAACTCCCGAGGGACAATTTGCATATTAGCCTTTTATTATATAGGATACCAAAATATATTGGATGCAGCTAAAGCAGTGACTAAGGGAAAAAATCATAGTATCAAATGCTTATATTAGAAAAGTCTGAAGTCAACAATCTAATTTGTACCTTGAAAAGGTATATGAAGAATTAAGAGAAATAAACACAAAGCAAGCAGAAGAAAAGAGCAACAATTAATGAAATTGAAAACAAAAATAGAAAAAGTCAATAAAACAAAAAGTTGAATATTTAAAATGATCAATAAAATTAATAAATTTCTTGCCCTGGCCAGTTTGGCTCAGGGTCACAGGTTTGATTCTGGCCAAGGGCACATGCCCAGGTTGTGGGCTCGATCCCCAGTAGGGGGCCTGCAGGAGGCAGCTGATCAATGGTTCTCTCCCATCATTGATGCTTCTATCTCTCTATCCCTCTTCTTTCCTCTGAAATAAAGAAATGTTTTTTATTTAAAAAATTAATAAATCTCTAGCCATACTGATAAGAGAGAATAGAGAAGACATGTTACTAATATCAGGAATAAAAGAGGAGATACCACTACAAAACCCACCAATAATAAAAAGTTAATAAGCCCTAGCTGGTTTGACTCAGTGGATAGGGCCCATGGGACTGAAGGGTCTCAGATTCAATTCTGGTCAAGGGCATATGGCCAGTAGAGAGTGTGCAGGAGGCAGCCAAGCAATGATTTTCTCATCATTGATGTTTCTTTTTAAAAATATATATTTTATTGATTTTTTACAGAGAGGAAGGGAGAGAAATAGAGCTAGAAACGTCGATGAGAGAGAAACATCGACCAGCTGCCTCTTGTACACCCCCTACTGGGGATGTGCCTGCAGCCAAGGTACATGCCCTTGACCAGAATCGAACCTGGGACCTTTCAGTCCACAGACCGATGCTCTACCACTGAGCCAAACCGCTTTCGGCATCATTGATGTTTCTCTCCCTCTCCCTTACTCTCTAAAATCAATAAAAATATATATATATATATATTTTTTTTAATATATTTTTTATTATTTTGTACAGAGAGGAAGGGAGAGAGATAGAGAGCTAGAAACATCGATGAGAGAGAGAATCATCGACCAGCTGCTTCTTGCACACCCCCTACTGGGGATATGCCCGCAACCAAGGTACATGCCCTTGACCGGAATCAAACCCGGGACCTTTCAGTCCCCAAGCCGATGCTCTATCCATTGAGCCAAACCAGTCTCAACATAAAAATATATTTTAAAAATTAAAAAGTTAAGGGAATATGACAAACATAAATTCAATGACTTAGATTAGATAGATCAACTCCTTGAAAGCCACAAGCTACCAAAACTCACCCAAGGAGAGAAAGATTTAAATATAAAATACACAATTATAAACCTTTTAGAAGATAACGTAGGAGAAAATCTTAGTTTCTGGAATTAGCAGTGTTCTTAAATGCCACACCAAAAATGTTATTCATAAGAGAAAAAATGGTAAGTTGAACTTCATTAAAATTCAGAACTTTTGCTTGGGGGGAGAAAAAGTCAAGAAAAGGAAAAAAGCTACAAAATAGGGAAAAATACTTGTAAATCCCTATCTAACAAAGAGCTATCCAGAACCCTATAAAGAACCCTAAAAACTCAATAGTAAGAAAATAAACAAGCCAATTTTGAAAAATGGCTGACTTAGACAGTTTATTAACGAGACTGTAATGATGGGAAATAAGCACATGAAAAGATGCTCAACATCATTAGTCATCAGGGAAATACAAATTAAAATCATGATGTGATATCTATTAGAGTAAGTACCTACACACCCAATAGAATGGGTGAAATGAAGTACTTGACAATACCAACTGCTGGCAAGGAAGCAAAGCAACTGGGACTCTTGCTTTGCTGGTAGGAATACAAAATGGTGCAGCTACCCAGGAAAACAGTTTGGCATTTTCTTATAAAGTTAAATAGACACTTACCATATGACCTAGCAAAACCACTCCATTTCATTCTAAAGAAACAAATATGTTCACACAAAAACGTGTATAGGAATATTTATAGCAACTCTTCATAATTGCCAAAAACTGGTGAATGGATAAACAGACAATAACCAGTGGAATACAGCTCAGCAATAAAAAGGATTGAACTATTAATACATACAACATCATGAGTGAATCTAAGGGCTAAATAAAGCTGAGTGAAAGAGCCACTCTCAAAAGGTTACATACTATATGACTTCATCATATGACAAATCAGTGGTTGCCAAGGGTTGGGATTGGAGGAAGGGTGTGACTACAGAGAGCGGCAGGAGAGGGTTTGGGGATAAATGGGACCATTTTGATCCTGATGGTGTTGGTTTACCCAAATCTATCATGTGTTAAAACTCAGAAAGTGTGCACATAGCAGCTTTACAGTATGTAAAAACAAATACAAGATTTAAACAAAAAAACAAGTACTAAGCTAATGGCAATCCATCATTTTAAACACTATGCTGTTGGGTAAATTAAAAAAAAATTTTTTTAATTATGGAGCAACTTTTCATTTAAAGGAGGCCCCATTGTGAATCATTCTGCACAGCATATTAGTATCATTTGTGTCCATTTGGATTAAGTCCCGGCTCTTGCAGTGCTACTAGGTAGCTTATGATGGTCAACAAGTCACCTCTGTCCACAGTAAAAAGGAGCTGGGGTTTGGGTATCTGTAATTATTGCTAAGCTACTTGGAATCCTCTCCGACCTCAAGAGTCCGCTTTAATAGGCTGGGCTGGTAATTCTGACCTGCTGCCACATTTGGGAACATACAGAGGTGATCTCTAAGGTCTCTTTCAACAGAAATTATATCATATGCTTAGTTTGCTTGAATGAGGGGCTATCTGTATTGGGAATCAATGTCTGTCCTTCCCTGCCACATTCTCTGTGAAATAGGAACCCACCCCTGACCCAGATCCCACCAGTAGTTTTCTGAGCCTAGCTTTGCTTACTTCCATCAAGCCATTTCCCACCTGTGTCACTTCGACTTTCCAAGGTATTTCTGCTCCCTCTTTTAGAGACTCAGTCCCACATCTCTAACCCTTTCCCATGCCCCCTTCTCTCCCCTCCTCCAGCTTCATATATCCAAATGTTCTTTGCCTCAGGCCCCACAGACATACGGCTGACATCCTGGATGGAGAACACTGACATCTTGGGGATAATTGTCCAGAAGCTGTACGTTCTCCAGTTGACAGGCTACATGAAGAGAATGGGATGGATGCTGGGGCAGCACCCTGTTCTCCAAAAGATAAGGTCTTCGGGGCTGACGAGAAGAATCGTAAAGGGCAGAGAAAGGGCAAGGAATTCTGACCTCACCTCAGGGACAGGACCTGGGCTCAGAGCAGGAAGCACCACTGCTCCTCCTTGTCCCTGGACATCCATTCAAGGTAGACACTGAGTCTGGGAAGGCTCAGAGCTATCAGCACCCCACAGGGGGCCTTGAGGCTCACCTACTCCAGCAGCTCTGCCAGCCTTCGGCATCCCAACCCCTTTAGATCTTCCCTCCAGCCATTCCAGCTCCATGTCCCCCGCAGGTTCTCCCCAGGGATGGAGGCAAGCTGGGAGGCTCCTTGTGGGAACCAGCTATTCAGTCTTTTCTCCGAGTGCCCTCCTTGGTTGCTTCTCTTATCTTTCAGCACCTCCTCTGCCCAAATGCCCCTATCGTCATCTCTCCTCCTCCAGTGTGGCTTCACCTGGCTCCCACCTCTCCTGTCTGAAGCCCCCAGTGATGTCTAAGGCGAAGGCTACTTTTTTCTTGTTCCTAGCCCAAGGGGAATGGCCTGAGAGAAGGAACTCTTGACTCTTGTTGCTCCTTCAGCCTCTTTCCCAGGACTGTGAGCTTAAGGGCAGGACAGGTACATAAAGTTAAGTGGCCAGGAATACGTGGGCTAGGAGACCAGCCCTCGTTCTCTGGGTAGCCTGATTATATAACTCGGGATTGAATAGGCGTCACTGGGCAAAAGATGTTACTAGAACCTGAAGCCCTTTGTTAGCACAGGAGGGGGGCAAATCTCAAACTGCAAGTGGGGCGGGATCAGAATGGACCAAAACATTTGTTTCTACTTGTTGGTCTGTGAACTGAGCGATGACAAGGTGAAAGATGATAGTTGGTAGCTGGGAGAAGGGAGGGCTTGAAGCTGATTCAAGGCCAGTAAGATGGAAGTTCGGTTGTGTCTAGCAGTATTTTCAGAGTCCTGTGGGTGGAATGAAGGATGAGGACCAGAGAGAGCACTGAAGGAGCCAGACTGAGACAGGACAATTGGGGAGAAACCATTTATATCCCATGCTGTTTCTCCTCTGTGTCAAAAACTTTCTCTGCACTCTCCTCATCAGCACCGCCACAGTGCCCAGAAAGGCCCATTTTACAGAACAGGAAACTGATGTGGAGAGATGAAGAACCTTCCCCAGAGTTGTAGGTAAGTTCTGGAACAACATATCACTGCCGAGAACAGGCCCGCGGGAGTAGGTGTTGGGTTGAAGGGAAGACCTCACCCAAGAGCAGGGAGCTGGGATGAAAATTGGTTCATGTATCTGAAAGCCAGAACCCAAATGGGAGAGCTTGTGACTCAGCTACATGGCAAGGGCAACCCTTGCCCTGCGACAGCCCCCACTCAGAACTACACCCACGTGTGGGTGCTGGAGCAGAAATCCAGGATGAGATTGGGCACTACTGCAGCCTGAGGTTTTGTAGCCCAAGACCACATGGCTAGGTTGGTGGCAGAACTGAATGGAAGACCCAGCCTCTGGGCTCCTTCAGTAACTCCAGTGATTCCTCAGGGGCCGCCCCCTCAGGAGACTAATAAGGCCACTCCCCCTGCTAGAGGAAGTGAGTGTGTGTCTATCTGGACTGAGCAGATTACACTCGTAGCTGAGGGCTATGGACACTGAGTTCCATCAACCATAACTCAGCACCCAGCACCTAGGTGGAGGTTGGATTAGCTATACCTGTTTAACCTCTGGAATTCTTGGGTTCTGGTGTGGAGCTTTTTTGTTTTTATTAATTTCTAAAGAGAAAGGGAGAGGGAGAGAGACAGAGAACCAGAGAGAGAGGAAACAGAAACATCAATGTGAGAAACAGATCAGTTGCCTCCTGTATGTACCTCAACTGGGACCAAACCCACAACCAGGCATGTGCCCTGACCAGGAATCAAACCGGTGACCTTTCAGGGCACAGGATGACACTCAACCAACTGAGATTCTTGTATTCTTCTAGTTTGAATTGGTTCCCTTGACCCTGGTCATGCCTCTTCACCAACCCTACTTAATAAGACTTAACATCTGCCTCGGACTACAAAGCTAGTGTTTGCTTGTTGAGCTCAACATCATCTCTCTGCTCATTGAGCAACTAGACAAATCCTCTTGAACCTATTTATCCATTAAAACCTCTCTTTGCTGAGAGGACTCAGAGCCTTGGATTTTGGGTGGTTGTTGATGGATGTTTTGCCTTTGTTTACGAACTAGAAAGAACTGGATATTTTTTTAATTAGAGGAAACCATCATCAGACTCATACAAGCATTTGTCATCATTAATAGGTTCCCAAGAGAAACAGAGTGACCCATTTGCCTGAGCCAGGTCAAGCAGGAGTGAATGTCTTGAGAAATTTGAGCACTTCATGCCCTTCCAGTACCGCTCAGGTTCCGGGTTAGTTTTCTCCTCTGGTCCCCTTCCCTGGGCTCAAATTCTCACCGCCTGGCAGTGGAGGGTTTGAAGAATGTTGGGTGGAATGTTGCTGACCCCAGAGATCCTCCCACTTGAAGGCCTGCGTAGGGTTATTTGGACTCCTTCCTGCTCTGTACCACAAGTGTTCCCACCCACAGCCCATGGGAGAGACTGTGCCTGAGGGACAAGGGGCAGCAAATTCCTCAGGCACCTCGGAGATAGGCCCTACATTCCCCCTGACAAGTGAAGTCACAGCAAAAGCAAGGGAGGACAGCTGAGTCCCACTGCTGCTTCTCCTCTGCCAGTCCCAATGTCATTATCACTGAGGCCCTGGGATTGAACCTGAGTTATGAAGGTCACACATGAAGACAGAAGAAAGGAGATGACGAGGAGGAGACGAGAGGGTTGAAATTGAACAGGGAACAGATTAAAAGTAAAGCCAGAATGCCACTTGGTGTGTTTTTTTTCCCCATTCTCCTTTATTCCTTAAACACCTAGTTACAAGTTGCACAAACAAAAAATAAAGGTAGAGGACACAGGGGAGATTTTTGTGATGTGAAGGAGGTGGGAAGGAAGAAGGACTGAGGACCAGACCTCTCTCTCCACACACAGCACTGAAGGAGGACTAGGACCCCTGCAGCAGGGGATCTGAGAAGGAGGTGGGCAAAGGTCCAAGGTAGCTGAGGGAAGGAGGAGGCCCCTAAACCCAGAGCTCCCCCCAAAAGCCTTCAATGTATGGCAGGGGTCGAATGGGGAAGGTGAGGAGGTTCAAAGATGGAGCAGCAAAATGAAAAATCAAGTTAGTGGATACAGGAGATGCGGAGTCACGGTGGGAAGGGAATTAAAGGAGGAAGATGTAGATAAAGGGGGCAGTGAACGGTTCTCCCTGAGACTCCAGGGAGAGCGGGGGGCCAGTTTGCCTGTTAATTTAATATTAAAGTGGGAGCGGGAGTTGGAGAGGACGAAGTTATATCGGGGGATGACTTGTCAGCCTCTCAGCCTGTACCTAGAGGGGGAGAGAGAGGAGTACAAGTCAGAAAGAAGACAAATGATAAAAGCCAGGAGTTGGGGTTTAATTCCTACTCGGGCGAGAGTTCTTTCTGTAGCAACTAAAACTTCTATCAAAGGCAGTATTTGCTAGGCACCTGGACTGTTTGTGCCTCCAATGTGCATAGGTACACTCCCAACCTCCCTCCTGTGCTTGGCATCGTACAATTCCGCCCCCTCAGATACTTACAAGAGAGGCTGAGGGCCCAGGGCCCTCACCAGTCATAGCGGCGGGACTGTCGGGAGGGGGAGTCCTCAGGGGCCTGTATGGCCAGGCGGGGAGGCCCCTCGGTCCTTCGGCCTCCGCCCCCTGAAGCCTCATGCCTTCGAAATTCCAGAGGGCGCTGCTGCCGGAACCGGGACGTCTCTCTCCGCCATTCATCATCGAATGCTGCGGCCTCACCTGGAGAGACCAGACACCATCGGTGCACCGCCTGGCTTCCGGAGGGAGGTGCAAGGGTGCGCCACAGGCTTCTAGCACTGACACTGCCGTGAAGGCTGAGAGAAGGGGTATGGGGATGTGTGGGGGAGGGCAAGTTTATTTAGCAATTTTTGGTTCAATGTGGTTCCTAGAAGCCACTAGCAGGCCTAAGGCATGATCCCTGGAGAAGGAAGTCAGGAATGGGATAATTATTTACTTAAGGAGCAGAGTCCCAAGCACACAATAAGTATTTGATAAATATTTTTTGATTTTAAAAAAAAAGAGGAAAAAAAAATGGTTCCAGATGGAGAGGGTAGATTACTATCAACCTCTCACTGAGGTGACAGAGTCTGCCCCACCCTGGTGACCTGACTCAGCCCCAAAGCTGACAAGGCTCCAAGTGAGGTAAGAATATAGGGCTCACCATCACCCGGCAGGTGTGACTCAGTGGCTGAGCATCAACCTATGAACCAGGAGGTCACGGTTCGATTCCCAGTCAGGGCACATGCCTGCGCTGCAGGCTCGCTCCCCAATGGGAAGCATGTAGGAGGCAGCCGATGGATGATTCTCTCTCATCATTGACATTTCTATCATTCTCTCTCTCCTGTCCTCTCTGAGATCAATAAAAATGTTAAAACAAATAAATAAAAGAAATATGGGGCTCACTATCTTTTGCCCAAAAAAAAAATATCTATGGATGTAGGGAGAAAGAGCTGGTATCTCCTAGTTCACAGAAACTGGACTAGGGGCTACTGGCAGAGAAGCTGGAAGGGCGGTGAGCAGCAAGGAAGGCTCACTTTCATCCAGGTTGATGTAGTCCTGCCGCTCTTCCTGGTCCCCTGTGCGGTGGTTTCGGGAGCGCTGGAGGATGTGAGCCCGATCTCGGATGTGATGTCCGATGGACATCTGCTCTAGTCCGCTGTCCGAGTCCCGCACAGTCCTCCGCGTCTCCCGGATCTGGGAGGAGGCAGAACACGGCACATTCAGCTGCCCCTTCCAAAGCCCAGGCCAGACAAACCACCCACAACTCAATCTTGGAAAAAGAAGGCAGGGTTTCTGGGGCTGCCACTCAAATCCCGCCTTCTCAGAGGAAAAGCTGTCGACTCACCCCGCCCGGCGCCGAGCGCATCTCCGACGTCTCCTGGTAGACCTTGGGGGCGCCGTCGCCCATGTTGGAGTAGGAGATGACGGTGGAGGAGGAGAAGGTCTGGCAGTTGCCTCCAGCAGTCATGTGTTCCTGAGAAGGAAAGGGTCCAGGAGGGCTGAAGGGGAGGAGCTCTGGAGACAGGCTCCCACCCTTCGGCTGCCTGTTCTTGCTCCTATCTTCCTCACAAAATGTGAAAATAAGAAAATGTCAGATGGAGGGAAAACTATGGGGAGGAAGGGCATGTTTGGGAATGGGGGGGGGGGAGGGTTGGTAAGGTATGTACACATATAATATCTTAATAAAAAAATAAACAAACAAAAATGTCAGGACTCATCATTACCCCCAAATGCCTGGCCAGGGTGGCTCAATGGTTGAGCATTGACCCATGAACCAAGAGGTCGCCAGTTGGATTCCCAGGAAGGACACATACCCAGGTTGCAGGCTTGATCCTCAGTGTGGAGATGTGGAGGCAGCCAACTGATGTCTCTCTCTCTCTTTCCCTCTCCCTTCCTCTCTCTCTAAAATCAATATGAACATATTTTTAAAATAAGTAAAAAAGAAGGATTGTACTAGATTGAGCCTTAACTGCATATTTCATGAGAGTGCTGCTGCTGCTGCTGCTGCTGCTTGGCATGAGAGCAGACGCCGGAACCCATGCTCTCCGGGTTCAGTTTCTTTACCCAGCGTGACCCCTTCTCTATCACTCTTCCCCACTCCTCTGAGGGCTCAAGGTGGTGCCAGGGGATGAAACAGGAGTCTCACCATGTTTCCGATCATGTCGTTCATCATCCCAAACATGTCCATGAAGCCACCCGACTGCAGAGAGACGGAGAGCAGAATGAGCTCAGAGACCCCCCCATCCCGTTCTCTTCCTCCCTCACGCCTAGCAGCCGCCCTTTGTCATTCTTCACGAACCTGTTTCTCTCCCTGTATACCGCAGCCCTCCTCCTCAGCCTCTACGGCTGTTCTGACCCAATTTCCCTTTTCCTGCCTGCCCTACAGATGCCGAAATCAATGGACTCTTACCTTAAAAGGTGGTGGGCATGAATTTGTACAGATAATCTTCGAAAAGCCATGTCTAGTGGGCCCTTCACCCCCACCTCCCTCCTTGGAGGGACAAACTTTTCTAGACAAGTACATTTTCCTAATGAGTATGGCTCCTACAAGGACACAAGTCCATATTAGCGTCTTTATCTCAAACTTATAGCACACAGCAGGCCCAGAGCTTTGAGAACACTACAAAGTTTCTACGATTACCCATAAGGCTACTCTAGAGAGGCACATTGGGAAGTAATATCTAAGTGAATAGAGTGTATCTGAGGTGGAAGGACACAACGAGATAAGAACTCACCATTCCCAGCATCCCAAAGGGAGAGACAGCCCCAGCCTACAGGAACACAGAGAGAACAGACGTAAGCGACCACAGCCTGTCTCACCGCGATCCCACACCTAGCCCATGGCCTCAGCTTGTTTCCCATCCTCCCCTCAAAAGGGTATCGCTACCCCTTCCTCCAGACTCCTTCCCCCTTTGCTACGTTGCTAAACTGGCTGTCGTGCCAGAAAAATCATCCCAAACATGTCCATGAAGCCACCCGACTTTACTAACCACCCTCCGACCTTTCTTAGGGTCTCAGGTACCCCCCCCGCAGCACCATTACCTGCACCCTGCGGCCAGCTGGCCTGGTCCCTGGCACGTTGCCATCTGTAATGCTGAGGAAGGGGCTGTACCCAAAGCCGCCCGACAACATTCGGTTCATATGCTGATGGTGAATAGCAAAGGGGTCCCTGTAGAGTGAGAATCCAGTATGGATGGCAGAGGGGCCAAGCAGTCAACCACCTCCCACCCCCCAAAGAAACGGGTCCTCGGGAACATGGCACAGATGCCTGCTTCCCTCCAAGTTGGGGCTGGAGCTCAGCATCCAGCCAGCACACACAGTGGGAACCCAGGGTCTGTAGGAACTCCTCAGACACCAGAAGTGGAGTGGGATGAGTCCCTAGAGCATGAGGGGGAGGGAATACTCACATCAGGAACATGGGATCCTCAGGCTCCCCATCCCTCATGAAGCGGAACATCCTGATTTTAGCTCCAGGGGGCTCCACACTGTAAAGATGAGATAGTTGGAGGCAGCCGGGCTTTGCACAGCAGCTCGGTGTAGGGACTCCCGCCGCACTCACTGTCCCTTCCCAATGCTGTAGCTGACCTCCCACCCCAAACGCCAGTGAGACCTTCCTCCAGGTGTTACCACCACCACCCTCCGGGGAGAGAAGAGCTCTTCAAACCTCTCGCAAGGAGGGCCATGGAAAATTTCCAAGCCTCTCAGTTTTCTGCCTCTCCCACTCACAGCCATCCTCTCCCCAAAGCCCGGGCCAGAGCCATACCCCCTCCCCTGACGACACAGTTCCGGATGCGAATGCCAAGTGCCGGCCCTGCGCCCCACGGTGACCCCCAACCACCCCGCCCCCTCCTCCCACCCAGCCGCTGCCCCGCCGCCCCCGGCAGGCCCCACAGTCCCCGCCGAACTGTCAGAGGGTCCCCGCCTGGCCCGGGCTCCCCACCGGGCAAAGCAAAGCCGGAGAGGCGGGCCCTCCGCTCTCCCCTCCCCGCGTCCCAGGCTCGCAGCCCCTGCAGCCCCGCACCCCCAGCCTCACCGGTCCCCGCCTCGGGCTCAGCGGCCCATCCGGCCGGTCTGGCCTCCCGTGCGCTGCAGGGTCGGGGCTGGCGGCGCCGGGCGCACGATCCGTCCGGGTTCGAGCTCCTCCTTGGCCTCCCGCGCCGCCGCCTCCCGCAGCTGCTGCCGCCTCCGAGCCTCCCGCGGCCCACGGAACCCGAGCCCGGCCAGGCCCGGGCGGAAGTGACGTCACGGCGGGGACGCCCACCCCGGGGCGGCCCGCGGAGCCCCGCCCGCCGGCGGCGTGGGGAGGAGGCCCGGGCCGCTCCCGGGGGGAGGGGAGGGGAAGGGGCAAGGCGCGGGGGGCTGGGCGCGGGGTCCTCTGGGGACAAAGGGTGATGGAGCTGATTGGCAACCGGGGCTCGGGGTCTGCTGCCGGGTTCTGCTCCGCGAGTCATGCATCCTCTGCTCCCAGGGTTTGGGGGGAGCAGAGGATGCATGACTCGCGAAGGATGGGGCTAGGCGGGGCGGCACGTTCGCTCAGGCGAAGGAAGCGGACAAGGGGCAGATGCCCATGGGGGGCGTTAGATGGGGGGCACGCTCCCCGTTAGAGGACCAGACGGGGCAGGCCCCGGGGGAGCCTGGAGCCGGCTTTCTGCCGGAGAAGCGTCCAGCCCCGAAGGCAGGAAAGGCGGCGATTCCGCAGGGGAAGCGCCGGGGCCAGTTCGGGAGGAGGCGTGGCCGCTGCGTGACGCCGGAGGCGGTGACAGCACCGCCCCGTCCAGCCGGCGGGGGCTCGGAGCGCTCGGGCGGGGCAGGGTCCAGGTGTGTGTGTGTGGGGGACTCGGCCGCCAGGTGGCGCCCTTCGGTCAGGCTGGAACCACCGCCCCTGGGGAACTGGATCTGGCGAGGTGCCTCACCCGCTCCCTGCACCCTACCGTGAGGGTCTGACTGGGGAAAAGCCCTAGTTCCGAAATCATGTAGCTTAGTACCAGCCTTCCCTTCCTGCTCCCTAATCCCTGTGTCCTCAAGAGCTCCCAGCCCTGCCCTGATCCTGCCTCTCGTCAGGTAGCTAGGTCAAGGGTCTGAAGATTGGGAGAAGCTTCATGCACCAGAATCACCCTGGGGTGGAGCTGGAAGCAGACTCTGGAGACCTGACTCCGAGGCCAAAGACTGATAACTTTGACATAGTAAACGTCTTGCATAAAATCTGGCCTAACCGGAGAGAAAGGCCCATCCCCCTGGGTGCCAGGGAATTTGGACCGTCTAGGGTGGACTTTAAACCAGATTTATCCAAATTCTAGCTCTCCCTGGTTCTTTACTCTGGCTGCCAGCCATCTGAGTGCTGTGTGGAGCCTGACAACCAGAAAGACTTGTTCCCAATATTTCCCTGGGGGAGGAAGAGGAAGGGTCCATGGTGACTGGGGGGAGGGGGGGGGAAGGAGAGAAAGGTACTGGGGGCAGGGCTTCTCAGGTTTCTTTGGGTTTGATCATCATTAAAGAGGAAAAAACAATAGTGAAGACAGAGGGTACAGAGACATAATTTAGAAGCAGGCTGACTAACAAAGCCAAAGAAAGACAAAGACAATAAAAGAAAATTTGTTTTCATTGATATTTCTGGGGAAGAGACTTAGTAAAATATTTTACATTTATCTTCCAGGTGCTCTATCTCTTGACATCTCACCATGCAAGTGCCCCTGGAGCAGATCCCAAATGCTGTTTACAAATTACAATTTAGCTTCTAACTATGAGAGAAAGCTCCAAACCTGAGTTTTGTCTCAGGTTAACAGAAATCCTTGAACAGATGGGGATGAAGGAGGAGACACGAGAGCTCATTTTCAGTGTTCCCAGAGACATACCATTAAGGCAGCCATCTACTCCAAGAATTGAAGGGATGTAATTTTACAAGAATTTTTTGTCCTGACTGGCTTGGTTCAGTGGATAAAGCATCGGCCTGGGGACTGAAGGATCCCGGGTTTGGTTCCAGTCAAGGGCATATGCCTTGGTTTTGGGCACATCCCCAGGGTGCGTGTGTGTGTGTGTGTGTGTGTGTGTGTGTACAAGAGGCAGCTGATCGATGTTTCAGCTGATTGATATTTCTTTTTTTTTAATGTATTTTATTGAGTATATATATATATATATATATATATATTATTGATTTTTTACAGAGAGGAAGAGAGATAGAGAGTTGGAAACATCGATGAGAGAGAATCATCAATCAGCTGCCTCTTGCACACCTCCTACTGGGGATGTGACCGCAACCAAGGTACATGCCCTTGACCGGAATCACAGGCCGATGCTCTACCAACTGAGCCAAACTGGTTTCGGCCTGATTGATGTTTCTAACTCCCTCTCCCTTCTTCTCTGTAAAAAAAAATAATATATATATATATATATATATATATATTAAATATATATATATATATATATATATATATATATATATAATTTTTTTAAAGAATTTCTGTCCCCCACAACCAGAATGTGTCTATCATCCTCCATTGCCTTCATTTCTATTTCCTCCCACCATCCATTCCTTTCCTTCCTCCCTTCCTTCCTTCCTTCCTTCCTTCCTTCCTTCCTTCCATCCATCTCTGCCCAATGAACTCTGAGGAACAGAAATTCCTCTGTCACTGGTGTGTCTTTTGTAGATAGTAAGATGTATGAGGAAGAGTGCACTCTGCCAAGGGTGAGGCTTAACACAAGGAAGATAAAGATGGAAGAGAAAATAGTTCTTATATTCACTTCTCTATCTGATAGAAACAAAGTCAGGCAGTCCTGTGAGAGTAGAGCTTGGCCAGAAAGGGGCCTTTTTAGATGCAACGTCATGCACCTGGAGCAATCCCAGGGCACTGGATTTGGAATAGAGTGAGGATGAGGAATGAAGTGGGAGTAGGGGAGACTGGATTTCCTGCCTGGGCCCAATGAGTGCGTGTAACTGAGTGTGTGTGTGTGTGTGTATGCATTTGCATTGGGGGGAGGGGGGGGGGAGATGAACCCTGAAAATTAGCACTAAGGTGCCCCAGGAAGAGGGAGTTGTACAGCAGACACCAGGTTAGAGTGAGATTGAAAGGTGACTCGGGAGCATTTTTTTTTTAAATCGGCTTTCCAGCCGGGACTGGTTTGGCTCAGTGGATAGAGCGTCGGCCTGTGGACTGAAGGGTCCCGGGTTCGATTCCGGTCAAGGGCATGTACCTTGGTTGCGGGCATATCCTCAGTAGGGGGGTGTGCAGGAGGCGGCTGATCGCATCGATGTTTCTAGCTCTCTATCCATCTCTCTTCCTCTCTGTGAAAAATCAATAAAATATATATTTTTTAAAAATCGGCTTTTCAGTTTGTTTTTATATCTACATCCACTCAACAAATATTTGTTGAATACCTACTGTGTGTCAGGCACTGTTCCTGGTTCTGAGATATAGCAGTAAAGTAGAGAAAAGTAAAGCAAGGTAGAAGGGGGACAGAGGAACAGGCAAACAACTGGGAGGCAGTGGTGGCTTTTTAGAGTGACTAGGGAAAGCAATACATATAAGATGATAAATAGAGACCTACACAAGAGGAGGGCTAGCCGAGGTGAGAATGTTCTAGGCAGACGAAATAGTAAGTGCAAAGGCCCGGAGGCAGAAGCATGCTTAGTGTGTTCAACAAAGAAGCCAATGTGCCTGGCTGACGTGGAAGAGCAGGAGTAAGAGACAAGGTCACAGAGAAAGAAAGAAGCCAGATCATGTGGAAGTTTGTAAGACCTACAAAAAGGATCAATGAGGCTAGTATATGGAGGATAGGCTGTTGGAGGACAACAGCCAGCAATTGAAAGACCTCTTCACATGCTGCTGTCATAATCCAGATGAGACATGATGGTGGCTTTGACTAGGTTAGAAAAAATGGAGGTGATGAGCAGTGTCCTGTTCTAGATATATTTTGAAGATGGAACTAATGAAATTTGCTGATAGATGGATGCAATGTGAGGGAGAGGATTCAAGAAGGACTCCCAAGGTTTTTTGATGTGGGCAACTGGATGAAAAATAAATGACTGGTCTGCTTGCTGCATTGTACTGAATATATACAGACAATGATTTGATAATAGTAAATTAAAATTGTGTCTGGTTGGAAGATCCTGACCATGTGACTCCCTGGACAGTCTCACCTTTAAAAGCTAGCCACCTGCCGAAACCAGTTTGGCTCAGTGGATAGAGATCGGATTATGGACTGAAGGGTCCCAGGTTCGATTCTGGTCAAGGGCATGTACCTTGGTTGCGGGCACATCCCCAGTAGGGGGTGTACAAGAGGCAGCTGATCGATGATTCTCTCTATTCCTCTCCCTTCCTCTCTGTAAAAAATCAAATATATATATATATATATATATATATATATATATATATATATGCTAGCCACCTAAAGCAGGAGATGTGGACAACAGGAATAAGTGAATTTCATACCCAGTTGGACCATGAGTTGTTAGTTGTTAGACCATCAGGGATAGATATGCTAATTTTAATGGTTGGTATTAGCATTGGATTTTTTGGTTTTTAAAATAATTTTATTTATTTTTTTAGTTAATCCTCACCTGAGGATATTTTTCCATTGATTTTTTTAGAGGGAGTGGAAGGGAGGGAAAGAGACAAAGAGAAACATGATATGAGAGAGACACATTGGTTGCCTCCTACTCACCCCCGTCTCCCCACCGCATGCAACTAAGGTATGTGCCCTTGACCTTGTCCTAGAAAAGAGTTGAACCCAGGGCCTACACTCTATCCACTGAGCCAAACCAGTTAGGTTTGCATTGCATTGGAGTTTTAAGTCTTAAGAACTTCCTGTTGTTTTTTGATCATTTCAAGAATACATCCTGGCCGAAACCGGTTTGGCTCAGTGGATAGAGTGTCGGCTTGCCAACTGAAAGGTCCCAGGTTCGATTCCAGTCAAAGGGTATGTACCTCGGTTGTGGGCACATCCCCAATAGGGGGGCGCAGGAGGCAGCTGATCGATGATTCTCTCTCATGGATGTTTCTAACTCTGTATCCCTTTCTCTTCCTCTCTGTAAAAAATCAATAAAATATATATATTTTTAAAAAAACAACACATCCTGAAGGAAGCAGGGCATCTTGTGATTAACATGGCATTAAGGATTCATTTTTGTGTCACCTGTTTGGTAGTTCATGTCAAAAAATATTTATTGAGCTCCAACTATGTGCCAGGCATAGTGCTAGGTGCTGGGCATAAAGACAAGACATGATCGCTGCCCAAGATCTCAAC